GGTGGACCGCAAGCAAGAAAGTACTTGTGGCATTAAAAGAATTTTTTAAAATGCATTTCCATCCCAGGACAGGGGACACTCCAGAACCCAGATCGGCCACAGAGATGGAATAGCTTCAGGTCCCCTCCCTCTGCAGCTTGGTGGGTGGGGAGAAGCTCTCCACCAGGAGTTGGACTTTCCAAAGCAGCTGACCACCCAGGCCTGGGGAGATGAAAGAAACAGGCCCAGAGATGATGACCTTCCTGCAGGCGCCTTCAGGGTGGCAACTTGGGATGCCCCAAATCTTTAAAAACAAAACACCTCTCCCCTTAATAAAAGCTAAAACTATTTTAGAGAGTATGACTCAGTACAGTAGAAAGGCTTGAACCTTTAGTGTGAACTCCAAGCCTTACCCAGGAGTCTTACAACTTTTTTTTTAATAGAGAAATCATTATGATTGCCTAAAACCCACCATGTCAGTAATGGAGTTGTTTGGATCCTGTGGAGTCCAGGCCCACAGGCAGCTCCTTACTCTGTGGACCCATGTGGCTGTCAAAGCCAATGTGATCACCTCTCGCTGTGGCCTTCCCTGGACCCTGGAGAAGCTCCCACCTGGTGCATCCTTCCGCTGCTGAGCACCACACGCCCAGGTTCTAAGTAAAGACCTTCCAGTTAGCGTGTGACAACAGGAGGGGGTCAGGACCGGGACAGGAAAAATTCACCTAGAAGCCCAAGGCGGACACAGAATCCCGTGCTGATCCTCGCGCAGGGAACTTAAAGCTCCAAGTGTAGAAGTTGTTTGGACTGACGCAGGCGTTCAAAGGAGACTGTGGTCTGGGCTCAGCCGGCACCGAGGACGGGGGCGAGGGGGAGGGAGATACAGGTGCCTGTGGGAGGGAGATCACCCGAGAGTGGGCTTCGGATCTTGCACATCCACGCCATCTCGGAGGACACGTGTGAGCCCAGGAGCGAGTTTGCTGTCTCTGAAGAAAGTCAAACACTTCCTCACCCCCTCACTCCCAGCTACCTCATGTTACCTGAGAAGTAGACATTCCCATGCAACCAGGTAGGTGCCATTCGCTGTGGCTGCAGATGCAGGGTAGGCTCGGGGGCGGCCAGAGCCCTGTTCTACCTCTCGACGTTGCCTCCAAGCACAAACCTGCTACAGCCTCAGCAGGAGCCCGCCTTCGCCCTGGGTCTGCTCAGTCCCCGCGGGTGCTGACTGCCCCAGTGCTGGGAAGCACAGCCTCACACACGTCCAATAGGTGTGAGAGCGGACCTGGCTCAGGTCAGCTGCACCCTGCACTGGACCACCCCTGCTTGCCGAGCCCTGGGAACCGACCTTCTTTCGTAAATGCTTTAATGATCTGCACAAGCCGGTTTATGTTAAATATGTGTAACTGCAGAAAACAAACCCAGCAATTTATTAGATGATGTCACCATTTACAATATAACAGGTTTTTTTTTTTCCCCTTTGGCATTTCTTCAATTTTATGACATTTATATCAGAAGCTCAACAACAGGCAGAGAGGCTCAGTCCCTGGACCTGTCAGCGACTCTAAGCTCAGCAAGCTGCAGGGCTTTGGAACAATCCAAGGACGCAGGGGCTAAAGGCGGATTGTTCCAGGTCAGCCTAGAAATGATTAATAATAAGGATGGCAGCGATAGTAACTCATGCCGGTTGTACAGTATTTAAAGGTTTTCACAGTGCATCCACGCTTTTGTGACCCACCCACCCTGGGGCCAACCCGCTGAGGCGGCCCTGAGGACACTCCCCCCACCTGCCCTCAAATCTAAACTTTGCTTCTGGGCTTCCAATGACCCTGACTCGACCTCTTAATGGCCTGTGACCATGGACCAATCACATTGCTTCTCAGCGCTTCGGTTTCCCCGTCTGTAAAATAGAGGTCCTGTCCACCAACCTCAGAGAACCTGAGCGGAACAGATTCTGAAGCACCGCACTTCAACTCTCGGGACCAACGGAGTGTTTTTCACTGCTGTTGTTAACATTTCTAAATATTATGTGGTTGCTCCTCGGAGTAGGCGGTTAAGAGCCGCTCTTGCCGCCGCGTCCTTGGCGGCTCTGGGCGCAGCCTTCCGCTGGGGCGTTGGCCCTGAGCCCCGAACTGGTGCAGTCATCCGCACTGCTGGGGACCCTCGGCGCTTTCGGATTTACAAAGTGTTTTGGAGCATTCGCTGTCCCTGGAAGCCCCGATGCAGTCTGGGAGGCTCCCTGTTAGAGCAGGGTTGACAGGTTAGGATTGGAGGTCTACAAGCTTGAACCCTGCTGCGCCGGGACAGCGCCCAGAGCCTGGGGTGGGGCTGCCTTGCTAGGTGGCAAAAGGGTTGCCCAGGTGCCCTTTTTATTTTTATTTTTTGGTTGGGGCCCAGGATTTCTTCCTTCACCAGTTTCCGGCTGAGGGCTCGGCCTACCCGCTGCAGGCAGGAGTCTTTCTGTAAAGCACTTTGAATTTCGTGGACTCTGCGTGGGGAAGGCCGGGCTTTCACATGTTTCCAGTGAACAGCCACGGAAACGTGGGTAGAGAGTGGACTGCCGGCCTGACTGTACCAAGCTCAGGTGGCTGGTTAGGGTGCTAGAGCCACAGCTGCCGCTGGCCCAACATCTGCAGGCCTGGGGCGGATTCTGCCCCTCTAGGGTGCTCCCCGGCAGGCTCTGCTCGGAAGCCCCTTCCCTCTGTGGGGAATGAGTTGCAGAGTACTTCAGGGCACACGCGCTCCTCGGAGGACCCGGCCCTGGCCCTCGAGGGACCAGTCTGAGTTTCGGAGGCTGACACCACTAAGCCACCCTGAAGGCTGAGGGACTTAGGGCGTTGTATTTGAGACACTTTGGACCTTTTCAGATGAAGGCCGGGGCCTGGGGAGGCGGGGAGGGTGCTGAGACTCGCAGGGCCCATCAGCCATTTGTTTTGAAAATGATACCCCAACTTCAAATCCCGTTGCTCCGTCCATCCTCACCCAACATACTCCCTGGGGTCGCAAAGCCCTTCGAAGCTGATCTTTTGCAATGAGATGCCACTTGGGGAAAACCGGGCCAGCTCTCTCTCTCTCTCTCTCTCACACACACACACACACACACATACCAATACAGGAGCCACACTGGGCAGTTGACCAGTAACGCATTGGCTGATCAGAACGATTTTCGGGCTTGACTTGAATCCTTGGGACCGATTTCTCTGCGGCCACAGAGCGCTCGGTTCCCTTCCCAGCCTCGGTTCTCTGATCTGTAAAGCGGCCAGGTTCGCCCGGCAGACCCCCAACACCAGCTTTAAGACCCCTAAGGGCCCAGGACAGAAAGCTGAAGAGGTCGGACGCCCAGGCTAGGGCGGCCCTGGACTGCTCTGCTACCGCCGCGGAGGCCGAGCTCGGCGCCCGCTGCACAGGGGTTGGGAGAGGGTGGACGAAGATCCCCTAGAGCAGCGAGCTGGGCCGGCAGGGGGCAGGACCGGTTCTGCTCTTTCAAAAACAAAAACCAGAAAGAGGTGGAGGGTGTAGTGGGGCAGGAAAAGGAAATGAAGAAAGTGCTGCAAATTTCCAACCGGAGTCGCGTTTGAGACCCAGACCCGGGGAAGACGCCTGTCTTTGGGTCGCGGAATGCGGCGGGAAGTCCTCCGAGGCTGGGCTGGCTCCGAAGGACGCCTCGGGGTCGGGAATCAGACCTCACCCCTACACAAGCCGTGAGGCAACTTGGAGGGAAGCTGTCTCAATCCGGACAAACTGAATTCGTTTGAGTCATTTTTCGCCGTCGGCTGGAGCCAGACCTACTGCGCCGATCCGGGCGCGGAGCCTGAGAGTGGGAGAGTAGGGTAGGGGCGTCGCGTGGCGGGCCACCGGAGGGGCTGCGGTGCCAACCAGACCGCTAACTCTGGGTCTTTTGCTTTCAAATGCGCAAGGGCCCGGAACAAACTATTTTGTTAGGATTCAGTGACAAATAACTTCCATTTTCAAAAAAAACGGGGGGGGGGATTCGATCTTCTTCCCCACTCCATAAAGATCTTTAATAAGTACGATCTCTGGGAAGAGAAAGGAGTAGATCCTATTGCAGCATTATCAGAACTATTCTAGCACACTACAAGGAAACTGCATTGACGACTAATTGTGAAATTAAAATGTAATGTTAAAAAGCTTCCAAAGGAAACAAAATGATTTGCAAGAACCATACGGAAGTTAGAGTGGGACTCTGGGGGTACGCAAGGCGTGTATAACCCAGGGCCTCCCCTTTCCCTTCACGTTTCGCTGTTTCCGGAAGCAGGACTCGTTTGGTGTTTTGTTTTATTTTGTTTTCTGTAAAGCGCTTGTCAGCACGCCCCGCCCACATCTGTTCCGCTGCTACACTCCTAGCCAAGGCCTTTGGGGTACTAAGGTCTGGAGGTGAGAGGCTGGGTAAGTTCGCCATTGGGAAAAGCGCTAATCGGCCTTTCGACTCCAGGAGAAATGGAAAGAAACCTCAGGCTAGGTTTGGATGCTGCCTGGCTGCCCGACTGGAGGCCTCAGCGCCTGCAATGCGGTGTTAACCCTTCCTTCCTCGGCGGCGAGAGGGGCGCGCGGAGGTGAGCATTTCACTCGGGGAGTCTGGGAACAGCAGCTGGGCAAGTTCATCTGTAAAGTGGGGTAATGAAAAACCCTCGCCAAGCTCATCCTTTGCTGTCTTGGTAGGTTTCGGTGTGACTCAAAAGACGCCACGTCACTGAGGGACTGGAAGCGCTTTGGAACCTGGAGAGCCGTCTGCTCCCAGCAGTGATAAACGCGGGTGACCCTCCTGGAAGACAGGGTCTTTGCGCTTGGTTCGCCTCTAATTACTTCAGAATTTCAGCTGGAATTTTACTGGCCCATTCTTGGAATGAAATAAGGGTCAATCAGTTACAGAAACGCCAGAAAATCAATTGACTGGGGGCAGTTCTGGGAGAGCAAACAAAGGGGAAGGGTCAGCAGACTAGGGTGGTGCTTCTGAGACCCGAAACCCAATATCCACGAGGAAAAAGAAATCAGAACTCTTCCTGGAATCAGTGAGATTCATTCGTGACGTCTGCAAAGTTCCCAAAGTAGCGACTCCTTGAGCCGCGTGGGTTTAAACCCTTCCTGCGTGGGCAGCAGCGCCGCTCCAGGAGGGGCAAGTGTCCTCTGACCAAGAGTAAAAATAGGCTGAGAAAATGAGCCCCAGCTATTTCCAGCCGGTTACCGGTTCTCCTAAAGCCAGACCAAGAGAATTTCAGAGAAAACACGGCGTCCAACAGGGCATGTTAAACTAAAAGTTTATAAATTAAAGGGAAAAACACAGCGAATAATTTCAAACTTCACAAAGTTTTTAAAAGTTAATACTCTAGCTGAGTGCACAGTGCCCTAAAGGAGGCGAATAGCGAGGGACAGGTGGGGTCACTTGTCTAAGGGACAGGTGAGGGAGTTCCAGGCCAGAGTGCCCGAGGTGCGGTGTCGGGTAGAGAGAGGCCGGGGCAGCGGCACTGCGACGCTGCCGAGCACGCAGAAAGGCTGGCCAGGGATATTCACATTGAATACAAAATAACCGTCATTTGAATACAAACAACTGAAAAGTGCTACAAATCTTAACCTCCGTTAAAAAATAAAAAGAAACAAAGGACATTGCCTGCTGAGAGCTGCGCGGGGGCGTGTGCTCTCCGGGGGCAGGGGAGGTGGGTTCCCAGGTGCGCCCCACTGGAACGCAGCCCTGGACATCCGAGAGGAAGGACAGAGGGGTCCTTCAGGCCCACCCTCAGCGGCTCCTTCCCTTAGGTTCCATTCTCTAGGGCACCCCTACCTTCCTCCGACACTCACAGGGAGTGGGGTGGAGGGCCCCAAAACCAAACCCTTCACGTTTCAAATCAGTCCCTGGCCTGGAGTTGCCAGGCTCCGCACCTCTTTGTTACAAATGCCGTTTTCCAAGATAAAGGTATGTAGAAACACATAGATCGGTAGCATGGATACCATGAACTAGTGTGGCCTAGCGCACGAAGCTCCCGGCTCGCCCGGAATCTGGGGATTCGCGCCATGTGGTCCCCGGCAGCCATCACCCAAATCCAACACGGCTGCGGCAATAAATAGTGTCCAGGGCCTTCCAGGCAGGTGAGCTGCAAGCGGGGACCCTCGCCCACGCGGCGCCTCTGTTCCAGTGAGAAGAAGGCGCCCCCTGTGGGCAGGCTCCGCCTGGCTGCCGGGACACAGGTCAGGGTAGCGGGTCTGACCGCTCCAGTTGCACTAGCCGGGTCCGCCGGCACCCTGCTCGGAGGAGCCCTGCGCAGACGCCAGCAGCCGGGAGCTGGGGCGCGCGGGCGCGGGGGCGCGGGGGCTCAGCGCGGGCGCTCACTGCGTGCCCCCCGCCGCCGCGCACGTGGAGAGCGCCCAGCCCGGGAGGCAGTAGTACGGGGAGTAGTAGG